GCCGGGGTCTCTGTGGAGGAGGAGGAGCAGCTCCATGAGCAGGCGGCGGCGCTCCAGCTCCCGGACCTGCAGCTGAAGGAGGCCCTGGAGGTTGTGAAGGGGACTGGGGGCCCCATCTGCCTGCTGGCTGGCGGGGAGCCCACCGTGCAGTTGCAGGGCTCGGGCAAGGGTGGCCGGAACCAGGAACTGGCCCTGCGCGTCGCCGCAGAGCTGGGACAGCGGCCGCTGGGGCCCGTCGACGTGCTGTTTCTGAGTGGCGGCACCGATGGGAGGGACGGACCCACGGAGGCAGCCGGGGCCTGGGTTATGCCTGACCTTGCCAGCCAGGCCACCGCTGAGGGCCTGGATGTGGCCACCTTCCTAGCCCACAACGACACACATACCTTCTTCCATCGCTTCCAGGGCGGGGCCCACCTGCTGTACACAGGGCTGACGGGCACCAACGTCATGGATGTCCACTTCCTGTTCCTGCGGCCGCGGTGATGACATAAGTCATGATTTGGGAGTCCAGAGAAGGCCTACAGGGCAGCTTCAGGGCAGACCAGGGTCGGTCCCCAGGGCCTCCCCAGGCCTTAGGGCCCCTCCTCGCCTTGGCCCGGCTGCATGGTTGGCCTTTACACTTCCCACCCAGGGCCTCTGCTTGATGTCCATCCCCCAACCAGAATGGCACGATGGCGGCTCTCTTCCGCCCCTAATTCCAGCCCCGGCAGCAGTACCCCTGAGGCCAAGACAAGCCTCTTGGCCTTTTCCCGGTATTCCCTAAGCAGCCTCACTGCTGAGCTCCTGAGCCTGTTTCTCTGTGGGGCGGAACAAGAAGGACTGAAAATAAAAAGGACCACTCAATGGGGTCTCAGTGCATCTTCCCTCAGAGCCGGGGCTTGCAGGGCGACGCTGGGGAGGGCGTGGGTCGGGCTGCAGCCACCCCACCAGGACCCGGTGGGAGTTCCCACACCCTCCACACCACACACTCAGCACTTGTTTCACCAACAGGAGCCTGGGAGGGTTGAGCCTGGCTCCCAACATGAGTGAGCAGAGACCCCAGGGAGACAGGCCTAAGGACTGCCATTTGTGGGGTCTGGGAGGGCCTGGCCACCCATCCAACAGTGACTTTACCAGTGGCATCCCTGCCTGGTCTCCAGGTTCTACAATATGCCCCACTGGGTGCCTGCTTACTACCTCGTACCAGGCCTCCTTCCCGCTTTGGACGGCCCTTAGCCCCAGACCACACCTTCTTTGGTTGAGCAGCCCTCTCTCTAGGGGCCGCCCCAGCCACACAGGACACTGGGCCTTGTTCCCTGTGGCAGCCTTTTTCTCGGGCTGAATACCCCCAGTTCCTTCAGCCACTCCTGTGGGGACACAGAACCATTCCTGGTCCCAGCCTTGTTATGGGGGTCAGCCTTGGATGGTGGGTCAGAGCAGTGATGGGGTCCAACAGTCCCTCCGCCAGTGGGGAGGAAAGCAACAGAGGGGGGTCCCTTGGCCAGGCCAGCTGCCTGCGCTGAGGGAAGGGGGGCCGCTGTCCCAGCTCTCCTCAGGCCCCCTCGCTCAGCATCCACGCCCGCCG